AGACAGCCAAAGGAGGTACGGACTTTCAGGGTGTCCAAAGTAATGAATTTGCTAGAACGTAAATTATGGTTACTGTTGGGAATGCTGAGTAGAGAACGGAGATGTGGAGGGGTTTGGCTAATGATAGTTTTATAAATGAACTGATACTAGTGCATCTGAAAGCCTGGTGTGGAATGTTGCCCAGTTTACTAGAGAGTACAAGTTACGGTGATGAGTACTGAAAGGGGCACCTGTGACAAAGCAGATGGCAGTATTGTAAATTACATCAAGTTTGTTGAGCAAGTGATTTGAGATTAGTTCCTGTTCAGTAATATATATTTTGTTTTTATTAGTGTTTAGGAGAAGGTGAAGGTTGGAGAAGGTGTGGCAGATACTGTTGAAGCTGAGTTGCAGGGAAGACAGGGTGGTGTTCAGGGAGGGGCTAGATGTATACAAGATGGTGCCTTCAGCATATACAGTAGGTGGATGTGAGAATGGCCAGCAGCATGAGTAACATTAATTATGTATATTGTGAAGAGGGTTGGACCTAGTATAGACCCCTGAGGGCCATCCATGGACAGGGATAGTTGGTCTGACATGAGACCCTCAGCTCTCTCAAATTGTACATGTCCAGAGAGGTAGCTGCTGAATCATGTCAGACTTTCCTCTGTGAGGCCAATGTCTCTGTGGACCATCACATTCTGCTTTACAGACTGCTTTCAGAGTCAAAAGCCTTTGCCAGGTCAATAGACACGGCCACACAGTATTCCTTTCTTTCAAGATATATGATGAAAGATTGCCAGCCTTCCCTTCAAAAACTTTACTGTCAGATTTTATGTTTGGTATTTTGATTAATTTATTCAGTCAAAAACATTAAAAAATGTGCTTTGTATCCTCAAGGTAACATTGCCGATGGAGTACCAAACATATTTAACATCGTTCTGCTAGGACTAACTGGGACTGGAAAGAGTGCATCTGCCAATACCATCCTGACTGCTGGAGACTCCGATCTGCATTCAAGACAACTTTTTAGGTCTGAGCCAAGCTCTGTGCCGGTCACCACCCAGTGTGAGTTCAGAATAATGGAGAAGCCATTCGGGGTGCTGGTGAGATTGGTCGACACTCCGGACTTCTTTAACGACCAACTTGAAAACTCTGAGGCACAGGTAGAGGAGTGTAAGAAGTACTGTCAGCCAGGGCACTGTGTGGTGTTACTCGTACTACAGCTGGGCCGGTTCACGGATGCTGAGGAAGGAATATTAGAAAAGCTGGAGGACAAGCTTGGCTGGAAGATCAGAGAGAGCACAATCGTTCTGCTGACCCATGGAGAGGACCTGGAAGGAAGTCTGGAGGAATTCATTGACTCACGTGATCCTCTCAAGAACATTGTTGAATCATGCAGCAATCGTTTTCATCTATTTCGCAACACCTCTGACGATACAAAGCAAGTCTTTGAGCTCATTAAGAAAATTCAAAATTATAACACAAGGTTCCCAAAGTTAACAGAAAAATCATTCTTTTCAGAGTGCTTTGCATGTTAGCTTGGCTATATTTTGCATTATCAGTACCAATGATCAGAACCTATAGCCTATACCTGGTCATCATGGTGCTTATTGCTACTTCTGCTATGTAACTTGTAAATGTACATTTTGTCAGTGATTCAAATCGGTCTGGTATTGTGCCCATTGATGGCTGGTAATGCTGGAAAACAGTTTACCAAACAGAGCATTGTAAGTGAGATTGAGAAAGGGGATGTCACCTTCCTAACTAGCTGTTCATTTTTATGAAAAATATTGATAAAAAAAAAGAATTTAGCCATTTAAGGTGAAAGAGCTGTTTGGACAGATCCTAACCCTAACTAGAAAAAATCTACTCCACGTTTATCATAAACATCTGAAAATATAATTGACTCAAAAAAATTGGTAGAGAAATGTAAACATTATATTGCTTTTAATCTGAAAAAACTGCAGCTCCCTGATTTACTTGTATTTGTTTACATCCTATTCTTTCCTTTGTCTAGTATGGAGGCGACGCTGATGTATCCCAGCAACAGGTCGATGTAGCCAATGCAGCGTCTATGTAAATATTTCTATGGTGTTTACTAGCGAGCAGTATTCTTCTTCACTGCTTTTGTGGGCGCATTTAAACTTTTTGTGCTTTACCACCATTATCGATCTGCAGAATAGCATAAAATTATCAGCGTCTGTGTTTATGTACACAATAAAACCAAAACTGCTCCAACGCACGAATAATAGTCAAAAATGCCACAAGTAATATATAGTACATCCTTGGGATATGGTGCTGAGGAGAAAATTAGTTGTGGTGTGACGTATACGTTATTTCATTTTTTTTACACAAAAGTACACAGCAAGATTATTCAAAGGGCTCAACAATAAAGTAAACTATAAAATATCCTTTATGTGCTTTGAACCCTAAGCGTCTGGTTAGACAAGAAAGCAACACAATAAAAATAATTTCTAGCCGGCTAACTACTGCAGGCCACAAGCAGATATGAAACTGAATTGTGGCACAGAGCTGGTGAGATAGCTTCCTCCATTTTGGACTTTCAGTTCAAAGGTCAGCATTGTCACGTAAATACATACTGTATGATATCAATTGTTTGCATGACTTCTGTTTATTACAGTTTGTGTTTGTGTGAGCAGTGGAAGACAAAGAAAAGATGACATTTTGATGTTATGGAGACCAATATATAATAATGATCTGGTTATCAAATAAATATTTGTTTAGTCTTTTCTGTTATTGATGTATTTCTAACAGCCCCTTTGGTGAGTTTAATGATGAAGTTAATGTACTTCCTGTGTCACAGTATCAGACAATCTAATTGTATGTATCCTTAAATACTGAAATAAAACAACTGAAGGGGAGAAGACAAATGTAAAATACTTTGTGTCCAGAGATATTCATAGGCTGAGCTTTCAGGAAACCAGAGAAAGAAAGTTTTACTGGTATGAGGTATAGGAATAAAATTTGGATTACATTTCCTGTTTAGGGAACTTTTTATACAATTCTCCATCTGTGTCATATATTTTTTTAAATCATTGTTAACAATCATACAGACTTAATAGACTTATTTTTTGACAGTTTCAGTGTTTTATTGTCCCTGATGCTTGATCATTTTTCTATTAGACAATTTGCTTTACTTTTACTTTTCTTCACCGAAGTGGACCAAATCCTGAGATACAGGCCTACTATGTATATTTGTTTGTGTGTTTTAGCACACCTTAAAATCAAAGAGGCCATGCGACCCTCCATGAAGCTTTTGCAACCCTTAGTGACTGTTTTCACTCATCTTAACTCACAAATGCACCGTTGGGCTGAACACTCAAGAGACTCAATATGAGTAATTATAGTTTGTTTGTTACAGCGTTAGATTGGCTGAATGAATGCAGAATCACATTCCTTTCATCTGAGAGAGAACTGCAATTCAAAACTTTGAAAATGGAAATTGGAAGAGACTTTTTGGCTGTTTGGCCATCTACAAGAAATTCAGAGGGATGAAAATCTGAAACGACTGAAGTCACTATGAGGAAGCAACATTATAGTAACCACAGGAAGTAGATGCAGCATCTCTCTACTGAAGCACTTCTTTAGAAACTCAGACACTTACAAGCAAGAGATAGAAGGAGAGACAGAATCACAATGGTTGGGTCCATATGGTTTCTAATGTATTTTTGTCGGATGGCGATGCTTCACTTTACAGGTAAGAATACATTTGCACATATATTAAAAAATAACTTTTGCATTATTAATGAAGATACTTTATAACCTATTTATTTAACTAAGAAAACCAAAGTCTGTTTGTTTTTAACATGGTTAGTTTAGTGAAAATTCATCACACTAACTATGAAACAAAACAGACATTTTCTCATTTCAAGGAATTGAGGAAATGTATTCATCATAATATAAAACAACATTGT